ATTTAACACACACATGGTAAATTGAAGGGAAAAGCAGGAGATAACAGCAAGTAACCTATTTAATGAGTATGTGAATGGATTGTGGAAAAGAGCCAGAGTAATGGTAATGGGTCAAAAGGCACATGGAGCATCAAAAGAAAGTTGTGGAGAACCATTATTGCCTGTGTCTTGAAAGGTCATGGCATATAAAATAAAGAAGAAGCAAATCATTATATTATTTAAATTAAATAATACGGTTTTATTGAATGAAAACATTATTAAAGATTACCTCAGTCATTGTCTGTACCTCACTCTAAATAATTTTTAGTTTTTGACTTTCCTTTAAGTGTTTAGCACTTGTTTACCACCTAGACATGCTTGATGCCACCACCTCATCGAGCCTGGTCAATTGCTGAGATGTGGTTCATGTGTAAAGGTGGATGGGTGTTTAGATGTTTTCTCACCTCTTTCAGATACATGGCTCGGCTCTGTGTGACCTCAGGCTGCAAAAACACTGATTTGCAAGCTTTTGATACAGCTATTAAAAAGTATCACATTGAATGAATTCAGGTTGTTTTTGTCATCAGCATTTCTTATTCTCTTCCTCTTAGTTGCTGTTGTTCCCAGGTCCACCCTGACATGGGGTGGTAGTACCTGTTAGGATCCCAACTATGGGCAAATAGTTAACCTCCAAACAGGGTTCAAAACACTATGAAAGTATAAACATACAATTTTATAGTAAAAATACCAACAGAACATTTTCATATGAAAAAAATTACAAGCAATACATTTTTTAGTTAGCCTATAAACTTTTCAGCCCACCTTCATATATCTTAGCCAGCCTGTAAACTTTTCAGCCCACCCTCATATTTCTTGGCCAGCCTATAAACATTTCAGTCCACCCTCATATATTTTGGCCAGACTATGAACTTTTCAGTCCACCCTCATATATTTTGGCCAGACTATGAACATTTCAGTCCACCCTCATATATTTTGGCCAGACTATGAACTTTTCAGTCCCACCCTCATATATTTTGGTCAGACTATGAACTTTTCAGTCCACCCTCATATATTTTGGTCAGACTATGAACTTTTCAGTCCACCCTCATATATTTTGGTCAGACTATGAACTTTTCAGTCCACCCTCATATATTTTGGTCAGACTATGAACTTTTCAGTCCACCCTCATATATTTTGGTCACTTTTCTATGAATATTTTTCAGTCCACCTCATATATTTTGGTCAGACTATGAACTTTTCAGTCCACCCTCATATATTTTGGTCAGACTATGAACTTTTCAGTCCACCCTCATATATTTTGGTCAGAACTTTTCAGTCCACCCTATAATGAACTTTTCAGTCCACCCTCATATATTTTGGTCAGACTATGAACTTTTCAGTCCACCCTCATATATTTTGGTCAGACTATGAACTTTTCAGTCCACCTCATATATTTTGGTCAGACTATGAACTTTTCAGTCCACCCTCATATATTTTGGTCAGACTATGAACTTTTCAGTCCACCTCATATATTTTGGTCAGACTATGAACTTTTCAGTCCACCCTCATATATTTTGGTCAGACTATGAACTTTTCAGTCCACCCTCATATATTTTGGTCAGACTATGAACTTTTCAGTCCACCCTCATATATTTTGGTCAGACTATGAACTTTTCAGTCCACCCTCATATATTTTGGTCAGACTATGAACTTTTCAGTCCACCCTCATATATTTTGGTCAGACTATCTTTTCAGTCCACCCTCATATATTTTGGTCAGACTATGAACTTTTCAGTCCACCCTCATATATTTTGGTCAGACTATGAACTTTTCAGTCCACCCTCATATTTTGGTCAGACTATGAACTTTTCAGTCCACCCTCATATATTTTGGTCAGACTATGAACTTTTCAGTCCACCCTCATATATTTTGGTCAGACTATGAACTTTTCAGTCCACCCTCATATATTTTGGTCAGACTATGAACTTTTCAGTCCACCCTCATATATTTTGGTCAGACTATGAACTTTTCAGTCCACCCTCATATATTTTGGTCAGACTATGAACTTTTTCAGTCCACCCTCATATATTTTGGTCAGACTATGAACTTTTCAGTCCACCCTCATATATTTTGGTCAGACTATGAACTTTTCAGTCCACCCTCATATATTTTGGTCAGACTATGAACTTTTCAGTCCACCCTCATATATTTTGGTCAGACTATGAACTTTTCAGTCCACCCTCATATATTTTGGTCAGACTATGAACTTTTCAGTCCACCCTCATATATTTTGGTCAGACTATGAACTTTTCAGTCCACCCTCATATATTTTGGTCAGACTATGAACTTTTCAGTCCACCCTCATATATTTTGGTCAGACTATGAACTTTTAGGCCCACTATTCTATCATTTCCAGAATTTTATCTTATTTTTTAAAAATTTCTAACTATACCAAATCTTATTTAGATACTAATGATGTCAGATATATTTTCTAAAAAATGAAACTGTGGCAATTAATAAACACTGAAAAGCTTTCCAGTCGTTACCCTATATACTTGTATATAAATCTAATTCATGTATAGCATGGCTCCTGAATTTATTTTCTAAAAACCTGATTTTTTTTCATATAGCTTGTGTATAATGTAACCCCAGCTTATGAGCAATACTAGTAGACCTACAGTAGTCAAATATTGCTGTACTGGGCATCATCCTGGACATATTTTATAGCAAATAAATGACATTTTTTTATTTTACAAAGCTACCCAAAAATGGTGAGGAAATCCACTTATCGTAAAATATATGATACAAAGTTTTAGATACCGTACTTTTGTTTTTGTGTATAGTTAATAAAGGTTCAGTAAAAAAAAAAAAAATATTTTCTTTCAAGGTAACATAAATAAATATATATATATATATATATATATATATATATATATATATATATATATATATTAATTATTATTAATTATATAATTATATATATCATAAATAATTATATATGAAGAGTGGGATATGCTTTAATAATGCTCCTCAGTTTTGTTGATTTGTATTAAAATATCACTGAAAACCATAAATAAAGCTGCTAGGATTAAAATTCATTTGATATTTCACCTTGTGCAATCATTATTTACTGTATATTGTTGTGCATCTTGTCTAAATATTTTAAGAATATGTAACAGTGAATTATAAAATAAAATAATACTAGTAAATGTAAAGAATATAAATATAAATAAACAGAGGAAGACAGAAGAAGGAAAATAAGTAAAACATATATGGTATAGATACGTATCAGACAAAAGGGGGGCTGTTAGAAAAGCAATACCTCAGCAATGTAAACACATGTGAATGAAGATATATACAAATTGGAGAAAGGAAAAATCCTCGAAAATTCTTCATTTATATAAGGTATTTGTAGATTTTAAGCAGCACACATAGTGATGTTCTGCTGGTCATGACAGAAAGAAAGAATCTAGGCTACAAGAGGCAAGCTAAAAGGGCTTGTACCATTATGGTTAGTCAAAGGTACCATGAGAATGTAGGCCTATCAGGTAGGTTACAGTCACTGAAAATGCATGAATTTTAACCCCTCCAGAAAAAATTTACCTGTGTAAACCAGTCTCTGAAAATTTTATTTTTTTACCTCTTCAAAAGAAATTACATGTACATAGTGCAACTCCATTTTTTTTTATTTTAAAAAAAAAACAAAAAAAAACTGATTATAAAATCTCGCACTATACTCAAGTATATACATATATATACATATATATATATATATATATATATATTGTAACTTCAATTTTAATCCCACCTTTTAATGCATCATTACATTTTATCCAATCTACATTTAACTAAACATGGAAGAAAAAAAACAATTGATACATTAAATCAGGAATCAGTTATTCTTTGAATTACTGATGAAAACAGTACTGTACAAAAACCTTATAATTATATTCCTGATAAAATACAAATTATCATACCATATTTTGTTGCTCCAATGCATTAGGCATTCACCTTGCTAAAATTTTGAAGGACGGATTCATGAAAGTTTTTTTTGTCAAACTTGGACCTTTGTGCACACAAAAATGGAGTGTTGAAAAGATGGTTTTTTCCTTTTTTTTTTTTTTTGACATGACGGTCGAAGTTTTTACCTTGTACTTCATAGTCCTCCCTACTATCCTCACTTTTACTCATTGAATATCAGATTTCATCATGAAAACCTGACTAATCATGATAAGTTCATCAGAGACTGAGAAGTACCAAATTTATGGTAACTATTTAGAATGTCATAATTAGAAGAGAAGTTAGAATGCATAATACCACTGAAACGTAACCTTATTGCAGCCTGAAATCCTCACTAATTGTGACAAATTCATCACAAATCGAAATGAGCACTAATTTTAAATTAGATACATGTAAATTTAGATACAGAAATAAGGTTAAGTTTGATTTATGTGTCGCTTAAAACATACAATGGTGCTTGCTGTATTGTTGAATTTTTATTCTGGTATTATAGCTTAAAATCATTATTACTGATAATCTAAACAGGTTTATTGCAAGCATTAAGTTTATAATGTAAAAATTTACAGAAAGTAATATTCTCACAAAATTAGATTTGATTTATTGTTTGGTTAAAACTTAAAATGCTATCAGTACAGCAACAGGTACCACTCAACACATGGGGAAAACACTGTTTTGGCTATGAGAGGCATGTTTCTATAAAACCATTTGTGAATGCTAATGAAAGCTTGTCTCAATCATTCAGAATTCATATAAACAGTATGTATCAATGGACATTTTATTACATGTAACCTTTAATATCATATCAAAATTAACTAAACTATCATTGTGAATTTAATTTTGAAACACTGGATTTTTTTTTTTACTTTCAAGGGCTGAAAATTGGATGTAACCCCACACTCCAATCTTATAACTCCTGTCACCGACTTTCAATTTATAGGACACTGGGTGTGTTTTGGAGATATGTTATAGGAAAAAAATGTATCTTATAAATAACAATTGTTGGCAATATCATGTTGAAATACTGGTTCCCATATAATCACCAAAGTTAAGCAACATTGAGCCTGGTCAGTATTTAAATGGGTGACTACTTGGGAATACCAGTTGCCGTAAGTTTGGATGTGCAGGTGATGTAATGGATAATGGCTCAGAATTATTAATCAGAGAGAAGAATTCCAATTCCCATTGGATTTGTTAAGTACAAGTCCCCTTGAGAAAGTTATGAGTTAATTAGGAAGACTTGTATCAGTAATTCTGTTATTAGCTCCCCTAACCAAATTCTTACAACCTTAAAATATTTCCTGCCTTTAAATAATGTGCAAAGAGTTGATAAGCCATAAAAAACAAATTTAAGCAGCAAAATAGTGTATATCATTTTTCTCTTCATAATTAAGATAGAAATAATATACTTCAAAGGTGGAGCGAATTTGTCAAAGAACTTTGTCACAATATGAGAGAGAAACCTATGCTGGAAAATACAGAAGGGCCAGAAATACTAAGACAAAGTAAGATCAGAACTGAAGAAAATGAACAGGAACAAAGCAGCTGGGTTTGATGGGATCGCATCTGGAAAGCTCTCAGCATCAGATGACTTTGGCATCAACAAGATCACAGAAGTAATAAACATACCAGTGGACCTCACTAAATCTATCTTCATGACATTAGAGACCAGATGCACATGAATGCAAACTCCATAGGACAATCAGTTTAATGAGCCACATAACCAAACTAATAATGCGAATCCTGAGGAATAGAGCATGAAGCAGAATTAGACTAGAAATAAGACAAGAACAGTGTGACTTTATCAAAGACACTGGAACAATAAATACAGTATTCCTGATCAGAATGATATCAAAGAGAGCAACACAGGTGCAGAGGGATGTGCACTGTTTTGTAGATGATGCAAAAACATTTAACAAGGTACAGTATAAGGATCTATTTGAACAGTTGGGAAAACTAGATCTATGTGGAAAAGATATTAGAATAATCCAGGACTTATATTTGGCACAAACCACCTGTATATAGATAGAAAATGAATTGAGTAGCTATACAAAATTAGAAAGAGGCATGAGACAAGGATGCGTCTTCTCCCCAGATTTATTCAACATCTACAATGATGCCATCTTAAGTGAACTGGAGACTCCACCAGGATTTATTTTCATTGGGCATAATTTTGACAATTTAAGATACGTAGATGACACTTTGATGGCCAACTGGGATTCACATTAAATAGTTTTTGTACTGCAGGTGTCCAATATTATTAATAAGCGATGGGGGATTTAAACTTAAACCTATTAGGATTAGTGTGAATCAGTTGAGTTATAGATTAATATTTACAGTAAATCCCAGAAAAACACACTGGGGACTTCATAATGCCACATAGTAGGAACTGATATTAAACTATAAACAACGAAAAGTCCTGGCCATAAATAAACTGCCCTCCCCCAGATTGCTTTCCCTGGGATAAGATACCTTATGCCCCAACCGATCACTAACACAAACCTATTCTCATTAACAAGGCATCTACCAGGAGGACTGACATTGAAAATAAATTTAAAACAATGCTCTGAGACAGACACTTAGGGGTTGATGATAGCTGCATATAGAATGGCTTGAAATAGACTATCCCCTATGTTGAGGTAATTTTTTTTTTTTTTTGCTGTAATATATATATATATATATATATATATATGAATGAGAGGAAGAGTGAGACATCACCATATTTATTGAAAGTAAGTTTACACGTTTCAAGAGAAATGCCGTGATTTTATTTATATAGATTAATATATGAAAAGAAAAAATATAATTGGTTGATTTTTTTTTTTTTTTTTTTTTCATAAATATCTCCCTTTTTCTGCTAGAACTGCCTTTTTACTTTATACATATGTAGAGCATAAAGATGGCAATCAGTCTCTTTTTTTTTTACATAAAAAATAACAAAATCATTTTTACTTTAAATATATCAATTAGATTTACAACAAAGATGTTAGTTATACAGCCAACACTCCTAGATTCTTTTGCCTGTTTCATGGTTTTAGTAAAATGGTAACCGTGTGAACGAACCAATCTCTGTAGATTTGGGCTGAAGTTGATCTTTTTAGAAATCTAAGACTTTATATCAGTTCCCTTTAAAATGGAGCAGTTTCTCTTCAAACTTTCAAGTGTCTCTTTTTCCCCAATGACAGGCTTTTTGTCATATGCAAACTAAGAGCCTTTGTATGCTTGTGTGTGTTTATTTGAAAAAAGGCTCTGAGATATATATATATATATATATATAAGCTCTCTCTCTCTCTCTCTCTCTATACACACACACACAAATATTTATAATGTTGCGATGGGTAAATTGTCGCCATTTTATATTTTTGAATTCATGTATGCACATTGTTTTTGATTTTGTTGACTGCACAGTATAGTAGGGTCAGTTGGGCACAGTCTGTGAGAAAAGGAGCAGCATTTCACTCTTCCAGAAATTTGGAAACAGCATGCTGTACTGCTTAGCGTTCGCACCAGAAGCTCCAATACAAACATTTCAGACTGTTTGGCAGCATATTCTAGGTAATGTGGGAGAACTATAGCATTGGTAATTATGTCTGCTTTGATAGCTAGGTCCTCTGCATAGTCAATAGCCATAATACACACTGTTTAGAATAAAAATAGGTGTCTGTTTCAAATATGAGTATCCATTAGATCATTTCATTCACACACACACACACACACACACACACACACATATATATATATATATATATATATATATATATATATATATATATATATATATATATATATAGCCACTCTTCCTCATGCAAGAGTGGCAATATGCTTATCTTTTCTGATGAGTTTAGTTTGGGTTTTATTTATTATTACTAAATAGGTTTCTTTTCCAAGCCATTAAAACCAATTTATTGAGTCATTGTGGTAAAGAAAGGCATGACAGGTTGTTTAATATTTCCTCAGACAGTGTATGGATTGTTATGTACAATGTTCAGATGAAATAATGCAAAGATATTTTATATTAAATGAAATTAAGTCAGCTCGTAGTTTCAAAGATTTATTTTCCTTAATTAAAACTGGTTATTACATTTAAGTCAAGCACATCAGAAGTGAGTAACTCATAAACTAATTTTATAATTTATATATAAAAATGTGCTGAGTTTAGGCTCATGTGTAAGCATTTTGGATTTAGACAAAACCTTTAGCTTTCATTCTCACTGCAGCCATTTTTTGTCTACTTGTAAAATCTATACTAAATATGCAAAAAACAAAAATTCAGATAGACAATCTTTTCTACTATTTAATTCCAAATCTTTCATTTTTTTTTAACAGGACAATCTACCTGCTGTCTATCTGTGAAAGGAAATATCCTCTAAATGAGGTATGGACCGCCGTTGGAAGAAAAACAAGTCGTCTGGAAATAATGGCGACTGGAACCGATCAAACAGTTTCATGAACAAGCCTGAGGATGGCTGGCTACACCGTGATGATCAGTTATTTTCAGATGCCGGGGTCTGCTATGGTGTACGGGTGAGTCATTTTTTACCCCTTTATGCATTGTTGAATAAAATTAAAAAATAGAAGGATTAGTTTTTCAAAGTCTACTTATTTATTGTTTTCTCTTTGTTTCCTACACTTTTTACTTTTTTACATTCAATTGTCATCCTTTTCTTTTTTCATTTTATTGGCTCTTATTTCCTTGGTTTCCGACTTTTTAATTTTGTTCTGGGTTTGCTTTCTTTTCTCACCCTACTCTTCTCATTCTCTCTCCTTTTCTTCCCATTCCCACTCTTCTTATTTTTCTTCTGTTAGTCTTTTCCTCTCTTTTTATATTCCATCTCACCTTGCCTTTCTTCTTTCTTACTTTTCATTTTTTACTTTTGTTTTTTGACTTTTCGTTTTCACTTCCTATTTTCTTTCTATCTCTGATTTATGTTCCTGATTCTCTTGCCATTTGTTCCTAATTCATTTCTCTACATGTAATTTCCTTCTTTCATTTCTTTACATTTTGTTTCCTTCCTTTATTTTCCTATGTTTCATTTCCATCCTTCATTTCTTTACATTTCATTTTCTACCTTCATTTCCTTTCTTCCTTTCCTTATGTTTTGTTTCCTTTCTTCCTTTCCTTATGTTTTGTTTCCTTTCTTCCTTTCCTTATGTTTTGTTTCCCTTCTTCCTTTCCTTATATTTTGTTTCCTTTCTTCCTTTCCTTATGTTTTGTTTCCTTTCTTCCTTTCCTTATGTTTTGTTTCCTTTCTTCCTTTCCTTATGTTTTGTTTTCTTTCTTCCTTTCCTTATGTTTTGTTTTCTTTCTTCCTTTCCTTATGTTTTGTTTTCTTTCTTCCTTTCCTTATGTTTTGTTTCCTTTCTTCCTTTCCTTATGTTTTGTTTCCTTTCTTCCTTTCCTTATGTTTTGTTTCCTTTCTTCCTTTCCTTATGTTTTGTTTTCTTTTTCTTCCTTTCCTTATGTTTTGTTTTCTTTCTTCCTTTCCTTATGTTTTGTTTTTTTCTTCCTTTCCTTATGTTTTGTTTTCTTTCTTCCTTTCCTTATGTTTTGTTTCCTTTCTTCCTTTTCCTTATGTTTTGTTTCCTTTCTTCCTTTCCTTATGTTTTGTTTTCTTTCTTCCTTTCCTTATGTTTTGTTTTTTTCTTCCTTTCCTTATGTTTTTTTTTCTTTCTTCCTTTCCTTATGTTTTGTTTTCTTTCTTCCTTTCCTTATGTTTTTGTTTCCTTTCTTCCTTTCCTTATGTTTTGTTTCCTTTTCTTCCTTTCCTTATGTTTTGTTTCCTTTCTTCCTTTTCCTTATGTTTTGTTTCCTTTCTTCCTTTCCTTATGTTTTGTTTTCCTTTCTTCCTTTCCTTATGTTTTGTTTCCTTTCTTCCTTTCCTTATGTTTTGTTTCCTTTCTTCCTTTCCTTATGTTTTGTTTCCTTTCTTCCTTTCCTTATGTTTTGTTTCCTTTCTTCCTTTCCTTATGTTTTGTTTCCTTTCTTCCTTTCCTTATGTTTTGTTTCCTTTCTTCCTTTCCTTATGTTTTGTTTCCTTCCTTCATTTTTCATTATTTTGTTTCCTTCCTTCATTAGACAACGTTTTGTTTCCTTCCTTCATTTTCCCATGTTTCATTTCCATCTTTCATTTCCTTACATTTCATTTTCTTCCTTCATTTCCACATGTGTCATTTCCTTACTTCATTTTCTAATGTTTCATTTCCTTACTTCATTTCCTAATGTTTTGCTTCCTTCCTTCATACCCCAGTTTTTGTTGCCTTCCTTCATTTCTCAACGTCATTTTCTTCCTTCATTTCTCAACATGCCGTTTCCTTCCTTCATTTCTCCACCTGCCATTTCCTTCCTTCATGTTGCCATATTTCGTTTCCTTTCTTCACGTCTCCACATTTTGTTTCCTTCCTTCATTTCGCCACATTTCATTTCCTTCCTTTTTTGTTTCCACATGTTTCGTTTCCTTCATTTCCTTCTGTCTGTCTCCCTTTCTTCCCCACACATACTTCCACTTGTCTCCCCTTCACTCATTCTGTTTGTCTCTGCCTCTGTACCCCCACCTGTGCCATCCATTTGTCTCCTACCTTTCTCCCCTCTGCCCACCTTTTATTTCCTCAACTCTCTCCATAATAACGATAAAACTGGTATAAATAGTGTCAACGTACTTAACTGCTCTTCAGTGTCAATGTGCTTGTAATGGAACTGATTCTATTCAAAAATGTCTTTTATCTTCATTTGCAACTCAGTAGCTTTCTTAAATCTGATAAATAAAGATTGAAAAAACTTAATACACATCAAGTATTAATGTAGTGAAGTTAAAATACTAATTTCAGTAAACATATTCATGAATAACCCTGATACTTGGTCCTGATCAATATTGATTCTCTTGTAGATTTTCTTCTTTATAATTTTATTTATTTGGCTCGAATTACAAAAAATAAATAAGATGAAACAAAATTTATAAAGAAATTTCCCTTTAAAAGTTTTCACTGAAAAAGGTAAATTATTCAATTCTTTCTGTACTTGTACAGAATTTAGTGATAGATCGATATAAAACAGTGTGTTAAAAATATCGACATAATAATAATAATAAAATGTAGTAAACAAATTTCTATTTCATTACTTTAAAACATTTTTTCCAAAATATTATACATATTGATCTGATCCCACACAATGCTTTAATGTCTTCAAAATGTATTCTTGTGTAAATTTTCTTTTTTCTTTCTCTTTTGCAGTATCTGGGATGTGTGGAAGTGAAAGAATCAATGAGAACATTGGATTTTGAAACAAGGACAAATTTAGCAAGGTATGTTCATTGTCTTAGAGGAAAAAAAAAAGTTAAAAGAAATTTGAAAAGATAAAAGAAAAAGACTGTTCTATTAACAGATCATACATTTTATTTAAAAATGATTTACTCAAAACAAAGCGTTTTCCTTTTTGCAATATAATTATCAAGTTAAAAAGTGGATTAGTTAAAATAACAGAAATGGTTTGCAATTTTTGCTGAAATTTTCTTTTTTGTAACTGAAGCTTAAGGTGGATAGAATTTTAGTGTTTACTATCAGAAGAGATTATTTAAAACCTGTTATGGATTAATATCAATTTTTTAACAAATCAAATTGAAATTAGTCTTAATTGAAAGCTTTTGGGTGAGAGCATTAAGATTTTTTTTCTTGATTAAAGAAGAATTTTAAATTGAAATATAAATAAGTTGTATTCATTTTGGTGTAATTTATGACAAACTGGTAACTCAAGGAAAAACCAAGCTTGTTTTGTACTCTGTTTTTTGTTTTGAATAAAACCATCATTGAGGTAATCAAATAATTGTAAAGGCAATAAATCAAAAAGAAAATATATGTACTGGACAAAATTTGTACAGTATAATTTCATCTGATATTATCTTTTATGTATTGTGTGTCCATTCAGAACATGAGCAATCATGGCTCTCGATGACTTTCTATCTCTTGTAGCTGTAAGCAATGTTCATCTTCTTTTCTTTTTTTTTACTATCCCTCTCAGTCCCTGTTATACCATCCACTTACTATTAGGTACATTACTCACTCTTTCCCTCTGCACCTCTTGCCTTCATTATGTCTTGTAAGTGCCAAATTCACCAAACCCTTTTTCCTCATCATCTGCTCCAGTCATTTTTAACTATCTTTCTGATTATAAGTATAGATGTTTTTTGTTTCTATTTACCTTAAAACTTCCTTGTAGCTCACATGCTTCATCCATGGTATTCCCAGAAGCCTTCTGTAGAACTACTTCCAGTCAAACGCTATGAATCCATCTATTCTCCCTCCACCTTTGGGTTAAATACTAGGACTTTTATCTGAAAGAAATAATTGTTATTCTCAAAAAATTGTTAATGCAATATTTACTTGTGAAAAAAAATATTCTTACAATTCAAAATATATTCTACCTTTAAATAACCAACAAAGGGTTGATAAGACATAAAAAATAAATCACTCAATCTGTATAACTCCAAATTTGTTACTTTGAGTTTCTTTATTTATGAGGAAATCATCAGACATTCACTGCCATATGGGCAAGTTATTACAGGCAATTTAGCACTCTTTTCTTTATTTCTCATGAAATTTTCTTATTTTTTAATACTTTAACTTTTGAAAGGCAGTTTTTTCTATTCCAATGTGCTTTTGGATTTCAGTGTCATATTTTTACTTGTTGTCTCTTTTATAAAACTAATGGAAAAATAAAGGAAGAATTGTACATGGGAAAACAAATTTGGATGCTGACTGAACATTATATACACAAAACATATGGAAGAAATTGATTGAAGTATAAACTTGTGTTAATGTAAAAACAAAATATATAATGAGTCCAAAGCGTGGAAGTGATAAAAAAATGTTTATATAATAAATATATGTTTTGGTTAATTATGAGTAAAAGTTACTTTATGCATGTGTTCATATAGATATGGGTTTATATTCAAAGGATAGGAAACATTGCAGACAGGAAATAACTAGAGAACATTTAAGAATATGTTGTATCACAAATGTCAATTTGGCCTGGGTTGAAAAATAAAAAAGGGTGTATTTTCCAGAGTTTTCTGCTAAAGATAATAAGAGTGAACTCAGGATCAGTATTTTCTTCTTGGGTGGATGATGTTATTTAATGTGGTGAAAATGGTAAACATATATGGAATTTGGGGTAAAATACTGATTGTGGATCCCATTGATATTGAAACCAACAGCTGGTTGACATTTTTTTTTTTATTGCTGTCTCCATCTGTTTTCATAGACATTATGTTATCTTCAATTGCTTAAAAGGACCTGGGACATTTATTCACTAATATCTTAGTTGTAATATTGCACTTACTCTGAACTAGTGTTTACCAAATGTTTAGCTCCTTCACTGCTATCTGTGACTGGGAGAATTTTCTGATGAAATGCAGATCTAGCCAAGTACTAATAGATTACCATCTTCAACTGAAGATATTTTTTTTTCTTTTATAGGACATATCCTTTCAGAATGTGAACATTCATGGCTCTCTATAACTTCCTGTCTTTTGTCGCTTTAAGTAACCTTTTGCTCATTTACCTTTCTTCTTTGTCTTTGTTTTGCCACTGATTCACTTGTAGGTTACTCACTTTTTCCACTTGCTTCTCTTGGCTATAATATATCCTGTGAGTGTCAATTTTTCCAGTACCTCTTTCCTCAATATATGTTCCAGAAATTTCAGTTGTTCCTTTCTGATTGCAGGTATGAGTTTTATTAATCCTTATTTTCCTTAAGCCTCCCTTACTGCTCAGCATTTGTTGGTAGAAACACATTTCTGTTGCTTCAAGTCTCTTCTGTATCTCTGAGGAGTTCATCCAATAGTCACTGCCTTCTTTGTTTACTTTACTGAATCATAATTTACTAACAAACTTTCTTTTTGAGTCACACAACTGTCCTGATGTTGCATATCAGTTCTATGTGTGTTCTCTTTTCATTTTACTTGCTTGTTTCAAAAGTAAATACAAGGGTAAGTCAAAAAAATTATTTGCACTTTTTCCATAACATATCTTTAGGTTTGTCACACAACCTTCTGCACATATGTGCTTATAGTTGGTACTATTGGGGTCGCATAATAGAAGTTTGAGCTTGATTGCCACATTTTTCTTGCTGCTGTTACAGTGTAAACATGGCCACTCCATGGGTGAACAAGTGTAATGCATGAAGGAGCAAAATGCCTGTAAACTTCCACCACTGGCGATAAGATTCAGTCAGCTCAAGAGATAGTAATGGAAAACTAGTGAGTTATCCTCAATGAGGTAGCATGTTCTCTGTAGATTTAGATTGCTGCTCTTTATTTCTCCTTGGTGCACACTGCTACCAGAGCGGCAATAGTGCTAACTATAAGCACACATGAGTAGAAGCCAGTGTAACAAACCTAAAGATATGTTATGGTGAAAGTGTGGATAATTTTTTACTTACCCTCCTAATTTTTACAACCAAAAAAAACAGAAATACTCTGTTAAAAATGAAGCTTATCTTGACAATATAGCACAGAACTGTGAAGCAGACCAATCTTTAAACTCGTTCAGCTTAAAAAAATAATCCAACACTAGTAGATTAGTGATTTTTTTTTATTATTATTATTTATGTATGCATCAAAATATTAAATTTATTATCACAATATTTCAATCAGTAAATCTTCAATATTCATTCACGCTTAAACTCTGGTTTGAATGCAAGTTCAAATAGAATAAACCTTTCTTTAATCTATTTCTCATTACCATATCTCATTTTTTATTTTTTTTTTAATCATTTCACTCCAAGCAAGGCAATAAAGCTACTAGGATGCAAGTGGTTACCGAGTGTTAGAGAATATGAGAAAAACTATTATTAAGGAGAGAAGACAATAAAAGAACAATATTTAGTCCTTGTCTAAATACTTCTTTTCTCTTTTGTTGTCTGTGTGAAAGCTCTATGCTATTTAGGGTCACTGATATTTATTTTTAAAATCATTTGATTATAATATTTAACTAGTAGTTCTATTTTATAATCAAATGAAAGAAACTAGTGTTTTTTTTTTTTTTCTCAAAGAAAGCCTTCCTTCAGTTTTGTCAGATGGACATGTAATTATCACCGATCTATGTAAACAGGATTGTTGTAATCAAGATGGTGTGAACATTACTCAGTTAAAATGTACTTTTGGTAGCTCTTTATTTATATCAGCTGTTAAATTGACCCAAGTAGATTTAAAAAAAAAAATCATTTCATACCAAGCATGGCAATAAAGACTCTAAGATACAAAGGCTCACTTAGTTTGAAAGAATATGAGAAAAAGAGAAACAAGGAGATGAGGACAACAATAGAACAAAGTCAGAAGATAACGATTGACATTGCACTTAAATTTTTGAAGATCAAAGTTAACTGGGAAGCAAGAAGCCGGAAAAAGGTTCCACAAGCAAGAAGTGCAATAGAAGAAACTGTTAGAATAGAACTTACAGTTATATCTAGCCACTTCAACTCTAAAATGATGAGACCTTGCCACCAATCTAGTAATGTACTTAAATTGATAAAGTTTAGGTACCACAGCAGAAAGTTAATCAGAACAATTACCATGAAAGTATGTATAGAAAAGGCACAGGGAAGCTATGTTATGGTGGTGGGAAAGGGACTGAAGCTGGTATGCCAGGTCATGACCAGTAGCAGTGCAGATTCTTTTTTTGTATTTTATCAAAAATCTGTAAATACATGGCAGGAGCACCAGACCAGATGTGGCAGCAATATTCTTTGTCTTACAAGTGAAGATTGATGCCATTAATATAAAATTACCCTGGGAATCAACTTCAATTTTAGTGTCCCTTCCACGTGTTTTTTTTTTTTTTTTTTCATTTCTTTATTTTTTTTCTCTGTTTTGTTTTTCAGAGAAGCAATCAATCGGGTTACTGAGGCAGCTGGTTTAAAATGTGCTGACAAAAAAAAGAAAGTGAGTTCTGATTTTATGTTTTCTTTTTCTTTTCTCCTCTGGTTAGATACTGAACAGTTTTGTTGTTGTTTATTTCAGAAATTCTGTTTTTAGTGACAAAATTATTTTTTTAAGATGCAAAAGGTTAATGAGTAAGTTTAAAAAAAAAAAAAAGAAAAAAGAAGGTTAATGAGAAAGTTAAGAGAAAACAATCTGTTATTTTTTTTGTTTTTAACTTCTTATTTTATTTACAAGTAAAGCTGACAATTAACACATAATGTGTTAATTAAATTCTACAGTTTACTATTATTCTTCTGATGAAATTATTTGAAATCTGGATTATAAACAAAATGATTATTTACATTCTTTTGACTGTTGTTCTCATCTTTTTTGCCTTATTCCCAACATTTATGACCATTGTACGCTCCGGCCTTCTTCTGATTGGAATTTCAATTTGAAATCTGGATTATAAACAAAATGATTATTTACATTCTTTTGACTGTTGTTCTTATCTTTTTTGCCTTATTCCCAACATTTATGACCATTGTACGCTCTGGCCTTCTTCTGATTGGAATTTCAAACATAACCCTTTATTTCGTCTACCAGGGTAGATTGTTCTGATTTCCACATTTGTTAGTTATTTCCCTTTAACTCAACTCTCCAAGTTTTTGTTCCAGGTATTGAACTCACAGCTTTTTGGATCCAAGTCTAACTCAACACTTTTATCCACTGGGCCATGTGTCCTTGAGGACATCAGTGTATGAATTTTTGGGACTTATAAACTTAATGTCTCAGTAACAATTTTTTACCAGAGCTCATATTGACAAACAAAATGATTGACATAACTCCTCTAATATTTTTCAACATTTAGAGAAAAGCTTCATTTAAAAAAAAGAAACACCATATTTAACAATGTTTAGACTGTATGTCTATCTTCAATTTGTTTAAACAATTTTTAAACACAACTTGAAGAAGACAGACATACTGTCGAAATATTGTTAAACACTGTTTTTTATTTTCTTAAATTGCACTCTTCTCTCAGTATTATTACTATTATTATTATTATATTTTTTAAATCCTCAAACTGCAAATATTCCTCATTGAAAGAATTTAAGTACTTTAAGATTCTCTTCTCAGTTACAGAAAAGTAAAACCGAAAGACTATTCTGAAGAATTCTAATAAGATTGAAATTTATCCAGAAAACTGTTGTGCTTACTTTAGTATGACTTATTTCAAACTGGTCACTCAAACTTACTGCTAATTTTATACCTTATTACAATTGTTTTTTTTTCTTTTTTTTAATCATTTCACCCCAAGCAAGGTGATAATGCCACAAAGATACAAGGGGTTACTGGGAATGCAAAAGAATGAGATTTTAAAAGGAACTGAAAAGCCAATCCTAAACATGAAACAAGAGATAAACCTCTACTTCTGTTCAATAAAAAAAGTGTGAACTGTGTGATAGGCAAACACAACTATTTTCAATTCCTTCTATTGAAATTTGGGTGATAAATATTGTATTATATTTGATTTATTAAAATTTATTAAATAAATAATAAAATTTTATTTTCATTTCATCTTATTAAAATTTGTGTAGTAAATTTTGTATTTATTTTTTATTAATTTTACAAAAGTTACAATATTCACCTGTACAAAGCCCAAGAGCCACAGGAAGAGAGTTACAGAGTAAGAGGCACAGTTTATGGGGGATATGTGGGATAGATAATTGTTGACCTTAAAGTTGAACCGGCCAAGATTGTAGTGATCAGGGAAGCATCTCCTTGGGAGTCAATTCCACAAAGCAGCAGTTCATGGTAAGAAGTTGTGTAAGTGGAACTTACATCTCACTAATGAAATACAAAAGAAAATTAGAGTGGTTTACTAAAATGTGTGCAGTAAAAGCAAATATTTGCACATGCTCAATTTCGGCTTATATTAAAATGTCTATGTAACATTTGATGATGATATTTCCATTCTGCAAGCAATAAGTTCATTTCTTATACTTGATATTTTATTCCCTATTGTCCAGTTCACACCCCTCCTTGGTCTTTTGGACAGGGGTAGAAGTTTATCTCTTGTTTCCTGTTTAGGATTGGGTTTCCAGTTCCTTCTAAAGTCTACTTCAACTCTATAATCGCTTGTCCTTACTTACACTAATAGAACTCCACATAGTAACCCCCTACCTTGAGTGGCTCTTGGGCCTTGTATTGAGTGAACAAAAAAAATTAAATCATTTACTGAGATATTACTTGATTATACTGGACAATTTTAAACTGAAGTATGCAATGAACGTTGACTTGTACCAACAATATGTTTTTTAAATAAAGTAATAATTTTAAATTATTAAAGTATGTGTTTTTTTTTTTTTTTTTCCAGTGCGACAAAAAAATACTCCGCATCCTTGGAACATACCCAAATATGCGGTTTGCAGGTTCAAACATTACACTAACAATTACAACAGATGCTCTCAATCTTGTGATCATGGAAACTGGACAGGTTAACTTTTTTGTTTGTTTTTTACCTGTGTCATATTGTATGTTACCCAAAAAGTTTATTCTTTGTCGTTAGATGGCATTAGGAGTGTTTAGTTTAAAATAATTCATAAAAATTGTTTTGGGTTATATTGTGACAACTGATATATCAGCAAGCAATTTTTTTTTAAATTCAAAATTGGTGTATTTTTTTTATTGATTCTAACATTGAAGATAGAAAAAAAAATAAGTAACATTTTTGGCTTATGCTTTTTTTCATTTTAAAAAAGGTAAAAATGCAACTTTGACACATTCTGATTCTTAAACAAAAATAGAGATGATATTGAGAATGATCAAATGTGATTTATCAAATTTCATGCTGAAAATCTTTTGCTGAATGATACTCCAAGTAAAGCATTGATTATGCATTACTTGAAAATAAATCATGACATGGGAGATGGCATTAGGTGTCTTTTGTTTAAAGTAACTTCATTCATAAAGATTGTTTTGGATTGGATTGTGATAACTGATATATCAGCCTGAAATGGTTTTTAAAAATTCAAAAACTAGTGTATTTTTTGTTTTATTCTAACATTGAATATCAAAGAAAACAAGCAACCTTTCTGGTATATTATGCTTTTTAATTTAATAAAAAAAATTTTAAAATAATACTCAATTGCAAAAATATACTGGGTGCCCAGTAAAAGAGCGGTAAATTCAGAAAGATGTAAGACAAGTGTTGAAAATTGGTGACGACTGATATGACTGAAAGATTTAGGAAGAATTTCTGCACATTTCGTCAATCCCCACATCAGATTGTCTTCTTTGAAAAGTACGATAACTTGATATTCAAAATCAATGAGTTATGAGCCATACAAGAAGGGCAGAACAAAAGACAAAAGTTGTCTGTAAATAGCCCTTAAGTGACGAGTCACAAGATCGAGCAGCAATTAATCAATCATAAAAGAACCAGTCAGTTAAGTAATTATGTGAGAATCAAATCATTATTTCCTTTTTATTTATTAATCCAAAAATTAACTGCTTACTTAAATATAGGTATCCACTCTCTGCCTTCGAGCAGAGAGGAACCCGGACGAGGCTCCACCGAAGGGCAGTCTCGTTCGGGGTGGTTGACTGCCCCTGAACATTTATCCGGGTTCAAAGAGGGAATATTTTTGGCCGAACCTATGGGCTCGGAGATCCCACATTAAACCTGGCCTTGTGCCACATGTAATCCTCGTTGGGGGGGGGGGTAACTAAATATTACAAAAATAACATTTAAAGTGATAAAAAAATAAATATGTATGTGTGCGTGTTATATATATGTATGTACGTGTGTGTATGTATATGTATGTACCTAAGTGTGTGTTATGTATCTGTGTGTGTGTATATATATATATATATATATATAAAGCAGATAAGTGTTTGTTTTTTGTTTTTTTTATCAAAAACCCCTATTTCTATTGTTTTGTTTCTGCAAATTTCAAGCACGTACACACACGTGCTTGAAATTTGCAGAAACAAAACAATAGAAATTGAAATCTTTTTGATAAAAATAAAAAAAAAATCAAACTCTTATCTGCTTTCTTCATACTTTATAAAAAAAAAAGTCAAAAACCTTCTGATTTATCAACTTCTATTGGGTTAGTAGGAAGGAAGTTGAGCAGCCCAAATGTCAGCTGCTTGGCAGGTTAAAAAATATTCTTCCTTTCTATTAAATTTTCTCCTTTGTTATATAGTAACATATATATTCACTATGTTTATTGTATTATATTTGTCAAATAATCCTTTTCTCTTTTAATGAGTCAACATTTTATATTAAAATATCTTTGTCTTTTCAGACGATAGCCCACCATGACATGGCAGCAGTTTCGTTTGCATCTGGAGGAGACGTGGTATGAGATTTTTAAAATTTTATTTCATTTCGTTTCTGATGGCTCACTGAATAGATAGGCAATAAAAGGAGGAAACATTACTGAATGGATAGAAGAATAAAAGGCTTTTGAATTGAAAATCATAATGAATGAATAAATGAATGAAAGAAATATGTAAAAAAGATAGTATTGAATGAAAGTAGAAAAAAGTTTGATGTATGGGAGAATTGGTAATGAAGTGATAAGGGGGAAAATAAGAGATAAAAGTAATGAATGAACGAGAAATAGATTGTAAATTAAAGAAAGTGAACATAAAGAAGGGACAAAATGAGAAAAATATGAAGAAGGGATAGTTAATGAGTTGGGGTTGAAAGCGAAAAACGAATTTGTGTAAAGAAGAGGTGATATAAATGAATTGAGGGAATAAAACTAAAAAATAATGAAGGGAACAAAAAAAGACATTTCTAATGAAATAAAGAAAATGGGAATGGAAGAACAAGTGCAAAAAAGATTGAATATTTTTGACTAACTTGTAGAGAAAAAAAATGGCAGTTAATGGAGAAAGCAAATAATAATAAAGGAATAAAGAAAGTGACTGAGGAAAATAAAAAGAAAAAAAAGACTTTGCCAGGTCCCAGCTGCCTCTTCTCAACACCAGACAGAAAAGACTTGGCTTGCCTTGGAGATATGACTGTAAGTTAAGTTAAAACCCAAACTGTCTCTTGCAAATCCCAGACTCTCAAATATGCCAACATTGCAAAGATAATAGAAATTCTAATAAATACCAGATCCTGGCATGTAATTTAAAAAATTTTTTTAGTCAACTGAACTTCTTCCTCATCCATTTGCTCTCATATTCTGCTAAGCTTCTTAAAGTTCTAACGATTCTAATTCTCCCTGATGTTCTTTCCACATATGTTTATCTTAGGAATCTGAGATTGTATATTTCTTTTTCTTGAAACTGTCAACTATTTGAAGATGTTATAAGGTGGACATATCTAACAGCAGCACAGTTTTCATGTCTGGGATCATTGTTAATGGCTGTTTAACCTATACCTTTACAGAGTAATGTATGAAGGGATATATACATGCACACAGTTTTTTGTTTTTTTTTCAGCTTTACTTTTTTTAAATATTTATTGTTAAAAACAATAGACATTTTGTATCTATTCTATATATTAATGATCTTTTTTTTCTAATGTATGAATATCATTTCACAAATATTGTGATTATGTCTGGATAAATTAACCAAAATTAGTGCATCGACACCATAAGAAATACAATAATATGAGAGATAGCTCTTTTTTAATAATACTAGAATTCTTTTACAATTTGATTTATAAAGTAGACTAAAGATTATAGAAGCTATTTATAAAGTAGACTAAAGATTATAGAAGCTATTTATAAAGTAGACTAAAGATTATAGAAGCTAATCAGAAATCAGGCTGTTATAAAATTGTTATATTTCTATTATTTGCACATATCAGTCAGTTAAGTGGTGTACATTATACATGCTTGGGCTATCATGTCTCTTTCAATTCATGACTGATTAAGCAGAAGATTTTTCTGCAGTAGGTTGCCATTTCTTTCTGCAGTCAACTAGTTGCCATCCAAGGCTATAGGACCCAATCTGTCCTACTATTCAACCTATAGCTTTAGGAATTGATGGATTCATACCTTTCCCAAGGGTAATTGTGTTTTAGGGTGTTGGGGCCACCCACCTTCTCATCAGAATGGACTGATCTCTCTACTACTAAGAGGACCGTTCTACAGAGTTCTAGGAGATCAGGTGACCATCAAAACTTCCGTCTCTCTATTGGAAGATACAATTGGACTTTATACTCTTTCTGATTGTTACTGACTAACCAGCGTTCGTTTGACTACTAATCTCTCTGTTGTAAATACCTCTTCAGATATACCAATATTTTTCCCTACATATGTGTTTGTTCTTATTTCAATACACGCACGGGGAAACACTCAACACCTCAACAAAGGGTATGCAACAAATCCAACTGGAATTCAAACTCAGCTCTCCAATTTCTCATTCTGAGCCATTATCCATTACCCCACAATGGACATCCTTTGCTTGCACACATCTTTTTCTTATTTTGTAAGATTTCTAAAAACATTCATATATATTTTTTTTTATCTACTTACATTTAAAAAAAAGAATGAAAGATTTCATGCAAATATGAGGTTAGGTAAATAAGTTAACATTAATTATTATAGAATTCTTCTTTTGGCTTTTTTGTCCTTAATTTTTTTTTTTTCCTTAATTTTCATTGCAGGAAACACTTGATTTTGTTGCTTATGTGGCTAAAGATTGTGTAAATGGCCGTGCTTGTTATGTGCTGGAATGTGGCGGTGGCCTTGCAGAAAATGTCATTACCACAATTGGCCAAGCATTTGAGCTGAGATTTAAGGAATATTTACGCAAACAGCCAAAACCAGTTACTGTACCAGAACGGTAAGATCTTTTATATGTCATTGGTAATTATTGGGTAGTGAAACCTGAAATTGGAAAATGATCTCTTATTAATATTTCCCTCTTTGTTTTTATATGTAATGTTTAATATTTTTTTTGTTTTTTGGGGGCAATGTTTAACCTTCATGCCTGCAAAAGGATGGTTATTCCTTTGACACTGCTATTACTGTATGCGCTTTTGACTCCCTCAGTAATGTTATTTACAAGGTTATGAAAATATGTGAACCAAGCACAATGCAATATTTATCATTTATCTTTTATAAAGAAATAAATTTGAAAAAAAATCTTTTTATTCAAAAATTTATAAAAAAAATACAAAATTATAAAAATATCTAAACCAACTACAATGCAGTATATATTATTTACCATTTTATAAATAACTATGTGAACAAGATTTTTATTGATAATTTTATAAAAAATTATGATTGAATTATTGTTGTCAGTTCTCAAGAACAAAGAAAATGTATGAATCCACTTTCATGTATTTGGATTTTATTAAAACTTTGATCATTGCTTTTTAAAAAAGCAATAAACATTGCTGAGGGAATCAAAAGTGTATACAGTAATAGCGATGTCAAGGGAATAAACATCCTTTTGAATCACTGTCTCATATTTTTTTATTTTTTGCTTATGACGTATTTTTTTCTGTGAATTACTGTTGACTTTGTTTTCATCTCATCCTTCTTTCAAAACTTTCTTCTTCCATTTGCATTTATGTTATTGATGAGTATTTGCCATATTCTTGATTTATTTTGTAAGTTGCTCAATCTTCCTGGTTGTCACAAGTTGTATATTTAACAGTTTAACACCTTAAGTGCTCATTAACAATCCATTTTTTAATATCTTCAGTTAACAGTGTTTGTTAGAAGGCTGATTCTGTGCTTTTAACATTATTAATTTATTATTATACCTTGCCAGATATATAATTGTTTTTTGTATATTAATTACTAAAATATAAGAAGAATGCATTTTCTTTACTAAAATTTCTCAAATGTGCAGGCCGGCTGATAGATGTAATACGCACTGTTTAATAAATAAAAATAAGGCGTCTTTTTCAAATACAAAGTATCCACTATAATAATAATGTTTGAATTAATAAAAATATCAAGATTAAAAATAAATCCATTAATTCTTTAGAAACTACTTTGTTTACGTTTCGGATACGAAAGTGAGCAGATATAAAGCTTTTGAAAAAAATATTCTGAGTGAAGAGAATATGCTTTCATTAAAAAAAAATGAAAAGCAGAACCTTGCTTGCTGTGATTTATCTGAGTGGTAAAGCATGTCTGATCAAGTGGGGGTTTCCCACACAAAAGGGATGCAGATTCAATCCCTTCCTACGCATGTATTTTTGTTACTAAGATTTCTGGAATGCACAGATCAATAGATGTAATACACACTGCCTAATAAGTAAAAATGGGGCATTTATTCCAAATACAAAATATCCACTATAATAACATTTGAAGTAATAAAAATGTTGGATTAAAAATAAATCCAAAAATTCTTTAGAAAATACTTGTTTTTGTCTACTAATTACTAAATTCTAAAATAGTCTCTACTTTATTTATTTGAAGTTTAAGAAGACACTACAAAATTATGATTTTTAACCCTATACACATTGTGTTCAGATTTTAGAGACATGTCAAATCGGCACAATATTCTTTATTTATATAAGAAAAGGATTATTTTTAACATTTAACACTCTGCATCCTTTATAAATATTACTTCCTTTTTACTGTATATGGAATCCCCTCAAAATATAGTGTTTTATGTATTAGTTCTATATATTTGAAATTGCAGTAGGCTGGCTCTCAATTTCACTCAAGATTGTTTTAGGTGTTGCCATAGAAGGGTATAACTACACAACCAAGAAATTCAAATTCATCTTGCATTGACAGGACTAACATTTTGCATATCAAAAATAGTCTCCTACAGAGTGGTAAAGGTTAATGAATAAATAACTTGTTTGAAGTTTCTTCAAATTTCTTTATATACTATCAAACTTATTTTATTTGTTTATGGTTAATTCTCAATTACTTAATGTTGATCACTTTACTTACAAAGACTGCTTGTCTTAAAAGTGTTACCCTCAAGAAATACACTGGTCAATTTTTTTTTTCTCCAATATAATCCTTGTCTTTATTACTATTATTATTGATAATCTTTGTTATAAAATCATCAAAGTGTACAGGTTATAGACAATAACATTCATTTTATCAATAATTCTGGACAGACTAAATTGTTTCAAAAAGAATTTTGAATTTAAAAACACTGTTATTTATTGTCTGCATAACTTTATTGTATAAGTTTGTTGACTCATACCAATTTATAAATCCTCTGGAGTACCAAATTTTTTATTCAGTCAAGCTAGCTTGGACATTCAAGAGTTTATTATGCCAACTATCACAGTGCTACATCAAGGTAGGGAGTTTATTAGGGTATCATCCTCTGTCATAACATAGTTGGTCAGTGTAGGTGGTTGCTGGGCGACCAACCTGTCTTATACCATGGCTAGGTGTCCAGAGCAGTAGATCACTTGCAAATTCTTGTTTTACTTACCAACAGTGTCCGGCAAAGTGCATTCTGCATTCACGTAAGGTACACAATAAACCATTTAAAATAATATAATTTCTCCTCCCCATTTTTTTTTTTTTAAATCAATAATTAATTGGTCCAGTAAATAATGTAGTTTTCTTTATCAATGTTTACTTTAAAATGTTAAAAAAAAAAAAAAAACTATTTGAAAAACCTTGATCCTTAGAATTTCCCCATTGTATGATTCATTCCGGTCTTGTTGGACTTTGTATTTGTCTGAGTTAAGTTTTATTCTGCTAAGGAATGTTATTGTTCATTCCAAGAGCTCAGACTTCCAATGGTTGTGGAAAATCCTTTCCCTTACAAGGACATGGCCTGCCTGCTCTTTCCACTGTCCTACTAGTCCAGATATAAATAATGTAAATAATAACACCTCATCCAAGAAATTCAGACAGAAAATTTAAAACATATTGATAACTTATGTAAATGAATAAAGACTATACAAAACTTACTGATAGTAGTTATATAGAAAGACTGTTTAACCTTCTCTACACTATTATTGAAACAAGGACTCATCCATCCTCTATGAGTAGAAGGTCTGCTCATGGAACAGTTGCAAAAAGTAGATTGCTAAGGCGTAGCACTTTCAGTCATACTGAACTACTGTATTCTCAATCCATGTTCACATGTGATTAAAACTTTTGTTTCCACTGTTTCCCTTACAGTATTACTAAGTCAACTATGAGCATTATAACAGTAATTATTTACACTATTTACATTGTTCGAACTGTCATCCTCATTTCATTGCCATATTAATGACATTTTAGCCGTTGTATGCTCTGACTGAAACTTTGTGAATATGCCAATGAAGACGAAGATAACATTTCAATTGTATGCTCTGGTCAAAACATTGTGAATATGGTAACAAAGATGTGGACAAAAGTCTGAACAATGTAAATAGTGTAAATAATTACAATATCTCACCTCAGAAATATAGACAGTTATAACAGTAGTCATACCTTAATTATACTTTATTATGCTGAGGAAGAATCAGCAAGTTAGGATGAAAACAGATTTAGAGTAAAATTTAAAACTTATTTTCTCATTGTAGGCATTAATAAAAGAGATTAGACACCTGGACCTGTATCTCGTAAAATGTTCAGTAATGATTTAATTTGGATCTGCACTAATTAGAGGAATTTTATTTGAAAATATCAGTCCAAATTTATAGACTAATAATGATAGTTCATCTTAAAATGTGAAGCAACATTCATTAGTTACCATATTCATTTCTTTACTGATGATTTTTACTGTTTTTTTTTCCTCCATGGGTTCAAAAGGCAGCATAATGAAAAGCAAAATTTCTCCCATTTGTTATTAATAATAAAAAATGAAACTTGTTGTAACAATAAAATAAGCACACCACATCTCCCCTCTTGCTTGTAACTATCCATTACAAGAAACATAACGTTTTTCAGCACTAAAGCTGACTTAGTCTAATAAAGCTTCATAATCTTCTACTTGGTAGTGTTATTAATACTTATGTATTAAATATTATGTGGCCAGAAATTTGTTCACTTTATTAAACTAAAACAAAAAAAAGAAGTAACCATATTAATAAATCAATACAGTCGTAGGTCGGCCACAGTCAAGATTATAGTCATTATGGACTCCATTATGATAAATAAAGAACAAATAGGAAACATTTATCAATCTAACGTTTCACTTTTATTAAAGCTTTATCAGAGAATAAGATATGGAGAAAAATAAATTCTGGTATTTTTACTTTTGTATTGTTTGATTTTCATTGGTTAATTATATTTCACGTGCAGTTGACTTATTAAATAGACATTAGTATTATTTAAGAAGTTCCAAAATCAAGAAGCGACATTTCCTTTTGAAGATCCAAGAAATTATCTCCATTATCTTTTTGATGGCTGCCATAGTATATACAGATTTGAATTCAGTTGTCCTTCTAGACTGGGATGTATGGATTGTGTAATGGATAGTAGTTTAGAATGAAAAATCAGAGAGCCAAATTCAAATTCCAGTTGAGTTCATTACATCCATTTATGTACAAATTCCCTTGGGAAAGGTATGAATCAATCTCTTCTACCCCCAGCTATGGTTTAAATAGTAGGACTTGTATTTGGAAAAATCATTGTTTTCTCCAAAATATTGTTAATGCAATATTCACTGACAAGAAAAGAATTATTCTTACAATCCAAAATGTTTCAGCTTTAAATAACCCTCAAAGGGTTGATAAGTCATAAAAAACAAATCTAGACTTGTGCCAACTATGGCTAAAGATCCCAGTCTGCACTATTAATTTAACCTATGGCTGGACAGAGAAGAGGTTGATTCATACTTTTCCCAGGTGTATTTAACAAACTCAAGTAGAATTCAAACTTAGTTGGCCATTTTTTTGTTCTGAGCCAATAATCATT